AGGGATTTATGGATGGTAAGTAGCACCTTGAAGCGCACCCGGAGATCAACAGGTAGCCAGCGCAGCTCGCGGAGGATAGGTGCATGTGAGGTTCATGGCTAGTCATGACCTATTATGATGATTTGGTTTCTCTTTGTTATCTCTGTCACATCAGTGTTATGCCCTGCTTTTCTGACTCTAAGGCACCAACCATAAAATCTCAGAAATTCAGTGAAATCACAGTTAAACTGATCTCAGACTGGCTAATAATTAAGGCGCCGATTTCTTTTTCGAAACAGACACAATAGCCAAGATGTACATTTCTTTCTTTTTTTTATTGAAAATTTTTAGGAAAAAAAAAACTTTTACAAATGTTCATCGGCTTGAACTATCTTGCTTTGCTTGTAATGAGTCTTATCTCATATATTAGTTCCACCTTTTAAAGTTGTGTTACTGAAATAAATGAACTTTTGCAAGATAGTCTAATTTTTTGAGTTTCACCTTTATACATATATTGCATTTTGAGTGATCCTTTAAACCGTATGTAAACAAAAATAACCATATTTAATGGTCTAATTTTGTTTACTTAGTGAATGCGTGACAGAATGAGAACAAACCTCAGTGTGTGCTATTCATGGGAACTAGGAACATTTTCAGTAATTTAATAACACCACAAGAAAAGGAAAAGCTTTCAAAGTATTATGCATACTGCATATCTATATCAGATTCCTTAAAATGAGCTCCATTGAACTCAATGAGACCAGCTTCTTAGTAGTCACAGGTATGATTGCGTATTAAGTTTTCTTTTTCAAGGACAATAAAACGATTTTTTCTGTTTTTTTGGCAATTCAAGTTTAAAAATGGCCTCCAGTGTTTTATTTTAGTTTTTCCATTTTGAGCTGAGGACCAAACTAGAAACAGGAACAATACATTTTTATCTCTTTCATATACACACACCCAATCTTTGGTTAAAACAATTGCAAAGTGGAAAGATGAGGGCGGGGATAGATTTGAAATAGATTCTGGAAGCTTAAATGTAAATGCATTTTTATGCAGAAAAGATGTTTTAAAATACAAATAGTATAAGGCAGGGGTGTCAAACTTAAGTCCCGCAGGTCGGATCCTGCCCACAGGGTCTGGCCCTCGGGGCCGCCCGGGAAACAGCAAAGGACTGGCCCGTGGTGCCTCTTGCCAAGCTCGGGAGGGCCACATACGGCCCTCCTTAGCTCCGTTTTCCTGGCGGAGGGCTCGGGCCATCACAGGTGCCCCTGACGGGTGATATCAAGCTGGCCATGCCCTTAGCCTTAGCCATGCCTCCCCCGTCCCTTAAGGTGAAACACAATCCTGATGCGGCCCTCAATGAAATCGAGTTTGACACCCCTGGGATAAAGATCTTGATCTTAGAAGTAATGATAGCAGAGCAGGAAATGTTGCACCGCCTCCTTGTGGTCACATGACTGCATTTTGGGGTACTTGGCAACCGGCTCATATTTACAACGGGTTGCCACATCCTACAAACACGTGACCACAATTTTCTATTTCCCCCCCCCCTCATTTCTGGCGCAAAAAAAATAAATCCCATTCAGGACAAAGAATATAATTTTAAGACCATGTGATTTGATTAATGACTGCAAACTTTGGAGTTCCGGCATGTGATTCATTTAACAATTAGTGTAAAAACAGTTGTAAAATTAAATCCAGTCATGTGGAGGCCTCACCTTACGACGATCTTGATTTAACATTAGAAATTCCTGTCCCAAACTCCAGTCGTAAGGTATACTTATAATGTAAATATTATATAGACCAGTGTTTCTCAACCTTGGCAACTTGAAGATGTCTGGACTTCAACTCCCAGAATTCCCCAGCCAGCATTCGCTGGCTGGGGAATTCT